GTTACATGTGTTCCTTCGATAATATCGCCTAGAAGTGAGTCAAATGTCTTGTAATTCGAATACGTATATACGACGGATTTTCATTTTAGAAATAATGTGTTCATATCGGAAATTGTTGGTTGTTGATTTCCTTGTTTTGCGAGCTTCATTTGGTAGTCTATCAATCGTCAAAACGATTTGGCGATTTGGTAGTCAATCAATCGTCAAAAAAATACAACTGGTTTCCTTATCAAGATTAATTTGTTGTAGCTAATTTTCTATGCTGTGTAGTGCGGCGTTTTCTTTTGAACATTCCATGGGGAAACCAATACAAACCTGAATTAGCCGCTCATTCAACCTCGAACTATGTTTATGTTTCCAATTCTGTTTGTCTTTTTGTTAGTCTATTTGTAAATTATTATTAGGTTAAAAAAGGGGTAAAGGTATTGACGTGAAATGAAATTTGTCAAGCCGGTGATCGACGCCTGCCTTGAACTGAATTGCTGGGCCCCTTATGACGCCTGCCAGCAGTGATCAATAGCCCAGCTCGTGTTCTGTTTATCTACTTTCGGTTACTGTTGTTGTTATGCGGCCTTCGACGACTTTAAACTCGTCTCTCACGAGGAGCAACAGGTTCGTCTGTTGTAATACTATTCCTACGAGGACGTTATTTATCCGTGCATCACCACAGGGGATCAATATATTCCCTTGTTTCAATGTTGTGCCCATTAAAGCTAACTCTTCATCTCTCAATGGAATGAATTAGTTCGTTTGGTGCGATGCCATCCGTAGCTCCACGTCTCGTAAATCTTGTCTTGAGAGATCTCATTTGTTCCTTTCTATAATGAAATTCATGGCTGACTTATGAATTGAGTGTGCTGGACGAAGTTAATAATGGGTTAAATGCACTTGATTTTAAGCGAAGAGACCAAATTAATCTTCAACTATAGTTTCAGTTCGAAACAATTGGAAGAATAATTTCTATCAAGAGCCTTTGGTGTAATGACAGATTTAGCCAATTAATTTTACCATCGGTTTCTTAATTCCACTTTATGATTATCCTTGCAATTTTAGATTTAATCTGATTATCGCTCCCAATTAGTCCATCAAAGTTTCTATTTTCGTTCCTGTAATTTATGTTGATTTTCCTGTTGTTAAATTTCCTTTCACCGCATAGAATGAGTCGGAAAATTTTTTGGTCTAAAATTGAATAGGAATGTTGAGATTGAATTGAAATTTAATCTTAAAATGCAAGTCTTTTTACTATTAGAATCTATAGCCATCATATATAGATGTTTAATTGTAGAAATGTCATTTAGAAATGCCGTCTATAGCTCAAAGTGTCGGTATGAGACCATATTCGTAGGTATGTCTGTTGAAATCTTAACTGAATGCCCATCTCAAGTACATAATAGAACAAATTACGTGGATTATTGGCTTGTGGAATGTTGAGGAACAGCACGGCATGCTCGTCACGTGTCATCAGGCCTCGCTTTATGGAGTTTCAATTTGGCCGGAGTTGTCGAAAGTGAGATGTAATAAAGAGGAGAAAGTTCTCGCGGTTTCCCGTAAAGTTACCGTGATGTCCCGTAAAGTTGCCGTGATGTCCCGTAAAGTTGCCGTGATGTCCCGTAAAGTTACCGCGGTGTCATACGCCTATACCGCATTAAATGTCATCAATATTAATTTAATACACGTAATATTTTCACACTCGCAGCATGCTAATTTATGCCTGAAATCTCTATCATATATAAGAATTTCGTCTACCCAAATGAAGATTGGGATTCATAGCTAATAGTGCGCTGAAGCATTGGTCAACATTAATTTCTATCCGTTACAATGTGTAAAAACGTGACTCAAAAGGCAACAAGTTTTTTTCATTATAATTGAATTGGTTTCGTAGCTTCGATCTAGACGCCTTGAAAAAAATTCTAATCAAGTTGATGTTGACATGAGGTTCCTTCAGGCAAATCGCTAATTATAGCTGCACTATATTGCAGAGAGGTAATTCGAGGACCATTAGACCATTTAAGCGAGCTGATCCAATTAAAAGGCGCCTTGTGCTCGCTGTCCTCATCTTGGTTCCGTGTTATCTGAGTACACAGGCTACGGTGACGCCGCCTCAAGGCTGCCCCGCCAACTTTTTGGCTTCTCCTACGATCCTGAAATTGCGTCGTAGCTTCTGGACTATTCCATCCTGCTGAGCTCGCAGAAAAATGCGTGGGACTATGTCCAAATAGCGATGTAATTTTTTACTTGTGTGGGTCACCCTGAACCACTTTGGACCGCTTGAAAAGCGTATCAGTGAAGAAAATGTATCACTATTTCGATAATACGGCCTTTGCAGTGAGGGGGACGACGTGTAATTAACTGTACACAAATCCACTCATCTTCTCCGTATTTAATGCGTAGTTATCATTAAATTTAACTCAAGTACACGTGATTTTGGAAAAAATTCTTGCATAACAATAATTTAACATGCACACTGATTCTCGACGACTCTTCTTATCTGCATTTATGAAGTCGCCAATCGATCAACAGTCATCTGCGTTGACAGTTAACTGAATTTCTTCAACTACTATGTAGTTCTTTTTCTAAATTCGATATTTGCAACATTTATAATATAGTTTTCCCCGGGATCTGGTCAAGGGTTGTTTAATACACTCTATTTATATTTATATCAAAACGCCTAATCGTTCTCCCGACAGTGCTGAAGCCCATAGTTTTTAATTGAATAGTTTTTAATTGAAGTTTGAATTGAAGCGAATAGTTTTTAGTGGCCAACTTGGTCAGTGCCGGGGACTGCCTACCTTATTCGACCATGTGATCAATATTGTGTTGTAGGGGTTACGTGCTTGATATGGATCTAAACCTTCGTTCCTTGTAAGAACCTGTTTCGTGCTATCATGAACAATAGTTCAAACTTTCTCTTGCATAGTTAGGTATTTAATACATTTAGTGGGTTATATGCGTATGGCGTGATCTATTGACTTTTACTTTTCTAGTGCTCGCTTTAGCTTAAGCATTCGTTGTGCTTGAAATAAAAGCCATACTAATTTATTTGTTTGTATATTTTTTTATGCGCAAGCCTATTCTTTCTCTACTGTTAATAATAAAGCAATCAGAATTTTTCTTTCTCGTTAATATTGAGCTATTTAATTTTTGTTTGATACAATTTTAGCATGCTAGTGATATAGCAACTCTTCCATCATATTTTATTTACATGTCATGGCCGTTATTTTTTAAAGTTGAATGTACTTATCGCACATTTTGTACCTCAGAAACAGGGCAGGCGTTTCATTCCAATGTTCAGTATCATGATTGGCGTTTCATCGCCAATACTCTGCCATCGCTGATTCCTGAGCATTTCATGGAGCTTTAAATCTAACGTTATCAGCCATGTGCTAACAATTTATGCTAATATTATGCATGCATGCTGATCATGCGGTCTCCACCAATAGTGAACGCCACTTCAGACCTTGTAGACGACCACGTATGCGCTTAATAAAACTAGGACAATTAAACGCAATTGCAAACGTACTACGAAGAGTTTACAAATGCCAAGGAAACATTACTCAAAATATTGTTCAGTGAGTGGCTTAATTTTTAGTTGCGTTAAATTATTACACTTAAGGTGATTATTTAATTTGTTCCTGACTGTCTATGGTTCTTATTTTCAAATTTGAAATTATTCAGAGGTTTTTGATACATCCCAAAAAATTATTAATGTTTGAAAAAAAGTTCTTTACTAGTCTTGAATCATTAAATTTAAACAAGACGTGCATGTAAGTTGTAAAATGGGTTTCATTGCGAAATATTCCAAAGTTATCAAAAATCGCGGTTATATTTCGCTCGTACTGCGCCTATAATGATAAGAAATCGCGTATTGCCTCACCCATATACTGCATCCAGCCTTGCTAGTACCCACGCCGCTGCACCGAGAATGTCTTGTCATGTCAATACACATGCCCCAGACTTCCTCACTTCAATTTTTCCTGTTGATTGTTTGATTTGGGTAAGAAAAGCGTGACCCTGACATCAGTGTTAAATTCTTCCTAAGCCTAGGCGTAAAAACTCGTTATACTGCGGTAGCGAGGTTATGGAAAACAAGGAACTACTCGACTTCGAATTCTTGGTATTTACTCTTTGGTTTGTGAATGAATGCTCGACCCTGACATGAGTACCGAAATTTAACTCTTCCTCTAGCACAGACACACACAACTCCATAAGCTTCAGTGGCGAGGTCTGTAGAACTAGGCCTTTAATGAAGCTCAAACAACTTTTGTAGAGCCGCCATATATGGAGCACGGCTCGGCCCGAGTATGTCGGCATCCGCTGCCGTTGGCGTCGCCGCCGCCCAGCAGGCTACCCGGGTTATTGGGTGGTGGACTTTTATATTAAGCCTATAAAATGTTACGCGTTTTGATATGACTTTGATAACTTTGGTTTGTCTGTAGCATTATTGCTCTCATTCGTGATGATCTTCCTTACTTACTCGATGTTCGTTTGAATTATCCGATCTCTGTGGTATGGTATATTAAGCCTATAAAATGTTATGCGTTTCGATATGACTTTGATAACTTTGGTTTGTCTGTAATATTATTGCTCTCATTCGAGTTAATTTTCCTTACTTACTCGATGTTCGTTTGAATTATCCGATCTCTGTGGTATAGATCACATTTGCATATAATCCAGATCGCGCGTTCACCTGATCTAGCATGAGCTTGTCGAGCTGATGCAACGCTTTCTATCTCCATGACCCTTCTACCGTAGAAGTACTTTTTTAGCATAAATCTACTCGAATGTTCTACAAGTCGGTGCCTTATGAACTGATTTTTTTCATCCACCCTTTGATGTAAATTGAAATACAGTAAACAGAACTGGAATGCGTCTATTAGCATCTTCACGTTTATCATATTCAAATTCTGACATAAATTCTAGGGCCAATCACACAATATTTCAAACTTGTCAAACAGTTGACTTAAAAAAATTAAATTAAAAAATCGGGAAATTAAAAACAATTACTGTTTTTATTCATTATTTTGTAAAATATCACTTGAGCACGTACTAATTATGTCATCCTACATCCTTCCAACAAGAAATGTATTCAAGCATATTTCGTACCGACATTCCCTAACACTAAGCAAGATAAACCTGCACCACACACATACAAATCAAATTACTGCTAAAAACCCTATAAACGGAAACTATTTATATTTATTGTGATTGAAAATTTTATCTCAATTTTACATATCTATCGTCATCACGCTGCTTCAGGTATTGTTTTGCAATATTTCTTATAAGAATGACAGTTTGCGGCTCTGTTAGATTACAAGTACACGAACTCACCGCATAACAATCATTTAATTGCCATCATTCAACTAAAGATTACCACAATGAATAGTCAAAGCTTATAATTAAACATAGGATAAGTTGCATTCATTTGAAAATAATTTCTGCGTTTAAAGATTCTCTGGAGTCACCGCAACTTGTGGATCTGGAGGACGAAGGCTCCGAGTTGAGGCTCCCGTACGTCGAGTCCCACGAACGTCTGTTGAGTTGCGTCTCTTCTGTGTAGGCTTCCTCGTCCAGATTCCTGTATATCGGCTTCCCAGGAGGCTTCGTACAACAGTAGCTACATATGATAATGAGAATAACTACCAAGGCGTGCAGTCCAACGATAAACTGACTTGCGTAGCTGAAGCCAACGGCGTCAAGCAGCACTCCTGCGCTAGAGGGACCGATGAAGGCTCCCAGTGCGAAGGTCGAAGTCCACATGCCAGACACAAGTCCATATGTGGTAAGGTTGTTTGGCATCCCATAGGCTATTGCGTCTCTATGTGCTCCACCAAATGTCGCCACGAGCTGGGCTCCAAACCCAAATCCGTGGATTATGAGAGCAGCAATGCAAAGGCCCAACGATTCCTTAATGGGCAAGAACGGCGCGGGGCCAAGCAGTATAAAAGCTACGATTACTGTCAGTGATCCAATGAGTGAAATGATGATCGGTGGCACTCCTTTGTCACAAAGTTTCCCCCAAATCGGCGCAGACGCGGCATACGTAGCGCCGTTCAGAACAAACACTAGCCCCGTTTGAAAAGGTGATAGCTGTAGCGGCCGCAAATGTGGTTCTAAAGTGGCTTGGACGAACCCGATGCTGATGGAGGAGGCAATGATCGAGAAGGCTGCGAGAGCTACAGGAGGAATTTTAAGCAATTCTATCATTTGCGATCCGCCGTGCAAACTGTCTGTTTCAGAAGGTCCGTCCGCCGAAGGAAGTAAGAAGAATGTTAGCGCTGCAGCTGTAAGAAGAAGGCTGCCCATGCACACGAAGGGTAGCGTGTAGCCTCCAAGTTCATACAGAGCCCCACCAACAGTGGGACCTACGATTAGGCCCACCCCGAAGCAGGTCTCAAGCGCTGCAAACGTCACGCTTACATTGTCCGAAAATTCTTTAGCTATAATGCTGAAAGCTGCGGTTAGAAATCCTGCGTTTCCAAGCGCTTCTACAATCCGGACCAGGAACGAAAGAGTCACGAAGGTTTTAGTATCCTGGACATGATTTAGGAAGCCGAATAGAATGCATGTCGATCCGGTAATGAATATGCCAGCATTGAACATAAACTTGGCTCCAATCTTTGATATGTACTCGCCGTAGATTGGGCTTACAATGAACACCACCAATTCAAAAATACCAAAAACCAAGCCGTATTGTGTTGCAGTAGCGCCTTTCGCCTCGGCCTCCGCAGGGTAGAATGGGGCCTGCAGAGATACGCAGATCGCGCTGCAGAAATCTGCCAGTCCAATGATCAGTAGTGTTGCAATTTGCCGGTTTGTGTATTTACCCATTATTCGACCCATTATTATTATTATTATTATTATTGTTGGATGGCAGATTCAAAGAAAATCTATATGCTTCTAATTTAATTTCGGAATTTATCTAATCTGACTTTACTTCCTGATAATTTCTGTTTATTTTGAATGTTTGAACACTCCAGTTCCGATATCCTTTATGATAATGAACACTAGTGTTGGGATATGCTTTATGATAGTGAAAACTTCTTGTTCCGATATACTTTATTGCAATGAACACTTCTATTATTATATGATTTATGATAATGAACACTACTGTTCTGATATAGGCACTGTGTGATAGATTTTCTATACTCAATCCGACGATCACTGCGAAAAAGTCGCTAATTCCGTTGCTAATTTAGAGTTGAAACTTGAAATAACTTGAAGGGTTTCTAGAAATCATAAAATTTTTTCTTATATTTATCAATATTTTATTTTATTTTCTGTCACGTCTAATTTAAAACTCTGCTCATAAATAGTCGTGCAAGTGTCGGAACTTTCTCTTAAGCTATGGAAACGTTTTTTCTGTTGATGGGTCAGCACTGCTTGGAACTGGAATGAACTTGATGTGGTTGCCAAGGTACATTCCTGTTGCCGGCCGCAAACACCGCTCTTCTGCTATTTTGTTGTCTTAATGCCCACACTGACTTTTCATCCAGCTATTGTGTTCTTGTCGTAAAAACCCTTTCTATTCGTCTCTCAGTTCATTTCTTGACACACGAATTTTTTATTTGCTCGTCATTCGTTTATTGGTTTATGTTAATAAACTTGGGTTTATTTTCAGATTTATTGCACTGCCATGAAGATTTGTTGTTGCTCATATATATCTCTTGCACTCTTCACTGTAATTAAGCCTGTCGCTGGACGCAGTCAACGAAACATGCTCATTAGATGAAAATATTTTGCACACCCACCGATCCGATGTAAATTTGAATACACGCACTGTAAGAATCAAATGTCTTGCACACGCACTGCTCCAATTTAAATATTTTATACACTCACTGCACCGATGTAACGTTCCGCACCGCACCGATCAAATGTTTAATTGCAAGGCAAGAAACACCAGCCAGACTGATCGAGTGTGTGAAGACAATGTTTAATTACAAGGCAATAAACACCAGCCAGACTGATCGAGTGTGTGAAGACAATGTTTAATTGCAAGGCAAGAAACACCAGCCAGACTGATCGAGTGTGTGAAGACAATGTTTAATTGCAAGGCAAGAAACACCAGCCAGACTGATCGAGTGTGTCAAGACCGCTACTCAGAGCGCGTGTTCTGTCTGGGCGAGAAGCTTGTCGCGAAAGACGGCTTTGCCTCGAGGAGACTCCCTCTAGCTGGGCACCACCGCTGTACTACCACAACAGACAGGGTGGTAGGGGTGGAGATCATTCCTTACCTGACGCCACAATCTCATCTACTGTTATGATAGTCCAAGATATGGAGGTAGAAGAGAAATCGTAGTAAATTTCCATTGGGGAATCGATTTTTAAATTGGATTTATGCTCTTGGTTTGATCTCACCACCGTGCGAATTTGTATATGTATGCTTGTCAGTGCAATGGCGCCAGAAGATATTAATGGCGCTGCACGATGTCCAGCCTGCCGCCCCCTGCCGCTGCTGTACAAATGCGCACAAGGTTGTCCTGCCATCCTAATGAGAGTCCTAGACTTGGTTTACATAGTCTCTCTTGAGACACTCTTGCTCTTCCTTCCTGCATGCAAAATTCGTCGTCATTTATGGCATACGTTTCCATGTTTTTGTGGCATTTGACCATTTTTAGGCCTTGATTGTCATGATCTTCATAAGGAATCATTCGATAGTTCGGGTGCGCGTGATATGGGATTCGATTTTTTTTCACTGCCGACTTTACTTTTATTGATTAAAAATCATTATGATAACTCATGTACGAAGCTCGAATTTAGTACGAGTGATTTTTACCTCACGTCATTATTTTTTATTGAGCTCTGAATGGTCGATATCTTTACATCCATGTCGCCAGAGTGTTGAGGCTGAACGAGATGATTTATGTATCCGAAGCTCTTTTTTAATTCTTTTTAGATGATTGGAGCGCTTTCGAAAGTCAAGCAACGAAGATTCTAATTTTAATTATTGGGCATTATCCATAATGAGCATGCATATTTTTCATTTTTTTGTTGTTTTTTTCAATGAGGTAACATCGGAATTAAACTTGAATTATCTTGGAGTAACTGGCAAATTATTCCGCTTGTAAGAGAAGAAAAGTAATGTCATTGATTCTCCGAAGAATTCTCAAATGAGCTAATTTTGAACAAGTGATTACAATATACAATAAGTCTACTATCGAGTGTAGACAAACATGTCACAATGAATGCCGATTCATTTATTTCATTAATTTGGATTTTCTTATATTTCCAGGTGAGTGACGGACTAATTCCATGCGCCGGTATACCCAACACGTTCAGCGGACCTAGGGAAGCGACGACAGGCAACTTGTATGGAGTTACGGTGAGAACAACTGTAGAGATTTTTTTCAGTTTTCAGTAAAATCGTAGGTTAGTTCTTGTAGTTTTTAAAAATATTTTCATAATTATTGCTTCTGCATTTTTACGTTCAGTCTATTACAAATAACAAGAAATATGCTTCAACAAAATGCCTCGTAAAGTTATTGAATTTTAATGCTCCTCCTTCAACACTAATTTATTTTTTCTAAATCTAAAATTTATTTATACAGGTAAGTGTTGAATTAATCTTATTTCAAGCATTTATGAAAGTAATTAAATTAGCAAATTTTCCAGTATGCTTCAAATAGCTCATGATTATTATTCCTTCATCATTTGTTAGTAAAGTCCTCTCAATCCAACTGTTAATGCAGCCACAGATGAGTTTTCTTTACGGAGTGTTTCTAAAATTTGATTTTAAACAACGAGTTGATTGTCGCGTATCAAAATTTAACAATTTAAATGTGAACAAATAGAGCGCACCATATCTGCAGTAAATACCCCGCAATTTGCCGAACACTTATCTAATACACGAGAACAGCATGTACAGATTGAAGTGTTCTTGTGGATTAGATAAGTGTTTAGTATTTACAGTATTTACAGATTGAGAACAGATTAAATGCGTTCCTTTTTGTTTTAAAAGTAGAACGCCGTGAAATGGCACTCAATGATAGCATTGAAAAGTTCTTGAAATTGAGTTATTGTACGGTTATTGAAGTTATTTCAATTGAGTATTGAAAAGTTATTCCTGTAGTTGTGCTTAATGACGAGACGTGTCAAGTGAAATTTTGAACGATTGAAAATAGAACTAATTCTGATGAGCTGTGATGTGTGTTTACATGTGTTCATCGCATGTAAACTTCTGGTTCATAAATGGGATATTAACTTTAAAGTTGGTATTATATGTGTGCGGTCTTTGAAGTGGGCATTGTGATGTAGGTGTGGCATTTGAAGTGGGTATTGTGATGTAGGTGTGGTCTTTGAAGTCGGTATTGTGATGTAGGTGTAGCCTTTGAAGTCGATATTGTGATGTAGGTGTGGTCTTTGAAGTGAGTATTGTGATGTAGGTGTAGCCTTTGAAGTGGGTATTGTGATGTAGGTGTGGTCTTTGAAGTGGGTATTGTGATGCAGGTGTGGCTCTTGAAGTGGGTTATAGTTATTTAGTTGTGATCTTTTAAGTGAGTTATTGAGTATTACGTGTAGCCCTGACAGTGAACGTTACACTGTTAGAAAAAACGGTCCCACTGGCATTCTAGTGGCCGGTCGCCCCGTGAAAATAAACTGTTTCGCCGTTTTTATCAGATGTTTCACGGATTTCTAGTGTTAAATTAGAATAAAAACGGCGACACGATGTTTCTTTTCACGTGCCGACCGGCCACTGAAACGCCAGTAATACCGTTAACGGTAATTTTACTAATAGTGTATGTGTTACGCAAGGTCATAAGAGTGGAACATAATGTTGGTTCTCAAAATGGGACCTTGTGCGTTCTATCTCCTCTTGTTAGTCTGACCTTTCAGCAGAGATCGAATGTTGGAGTAAGGAACTACCATGCTTAAATGATACTATAATGTTGATTTTTGGCACAGCACCGAACTCGGTCTTGAATTCGTCTTCTCATGTTTGTCTATAATCTAAATAGATAATTTGGTTTGAGTGGCCGTTTAGAGATAACGAGATAGCACTATTTGTTTTTCTTCATTGATAATTATTACAAGAAATTCATAATTCCTTCGTACGAGAAGTCATTCGTGATTTCACTACCTTTGAACTTGCATTATATTCTTCATTTTGGATAGAAGTTTGAACCATTTGAACGCAGTAAATAAGTAAATTTGTTTACAAGTATCATTCGAAACTTGGTTAATGTTGAAAACATAAATTACCTTCAATGTCCATGAAGATCGGGACAAAGAAAACCAAATTTTATACGAGAATATGTCAGATTAGCTACCACTAAGGGTATGCATTAAACAACCTGTTTTGAAATTATACATGGGTATGATTTAAAATGACAAATTCGCCTCGAATAAGAAAAAAGCTAAAATAAAATAACAAAGTGACGACTTAAGTAAAATATATTTTCCTATCACGACTTGAGTAAAGTCGTGAAAATAAACGACTCAGTAAAATAAAATAACAAAGTTATTTTATTAAATATAATAGTTATTTTAAACATTAAAATAAATATAACAAAGTTATTTTATTATATTTTTTATTATATATTATAAAATAAATATAACAAAGTTATTTTATTATAAGAATAAATAAAAGTAAAATTACAAAGATATTCCACGCACGCAGAATAGCTCGATCGGTTCACTGGTGCTAATAAGGCCGTAGTGTTCAGTAGGGTAGCATAGCCTACCCTCGTGAGCAAGGGCTACCCTCTCACTTCATCTGTCCCTCTGTTCCCTCTGTCGCAGCTGCCAGGCAGTCAGCAGCAGCAGTATCGTCTCAGGCTTGTGTCGTGCCGTGTCGCGGCTCTGTGTACCAATATGTGATTTATTATCATGTCTGTGCAAGTTATTGTAAACAAGATACCAGTTTTAATATTTATGATAGTGACAAACATGTCGTCTAGTTTCATTTCGTTACTGATTGTGAACTTATTTAATTTGTAGTGGTGCCTGAATTCTGTGCCCACGAGAGAAGTACGAACAAAACATCGGATCCGCATGAAGTGTAGTAGAGCTGCCAGGGCTGTTTCCACTCATTGCCTGTGTATGTTTCTTCTGCTTTCTTTCACTTTGCGACTTGAGTGATATTTTTGTATTCAAATAATACGAAATATTTGTGATACCTACCAATGGCATCTTCGTTGCAGAAGCTGCAGGTTGCGGAAGAGTATCGAATAAATGACGCAAAAATATTCAGATCGTGTCGGAGAACTGAAATAATTATAAATCACTTGCGTAACTGTTGTCATTCTAAAATGAAACTTCCCATGGACGTGTCCATACAAGAATATATTGCCTTTTACTTAGCTTTAATTGAAATCTGCCTATAATTGCCATCGCATTTTCATCATTACTTCTGTTCAACAACCCTAATCGACCTAGATTTTATGGGAAATTTTTTATTTACTGTAGATTCTGATGACGATGTGCATGTTGGCCTGTATCCCTTATTCGCTTGCCAACACAGACTTTGCCCCGCGGCTGAGCTAGTACCTAATTTTCTTGTTTCTTTCCGTAAGTCTTATCTTTTGTCCATGTAAATCTTGTGGCTGTATTGACTCGCGGTTTTCAATGAAGATTATTGAAAAATTATCTTCTTGTTGTGATGCAGAGACTTCCTGTGGAATGCATTGATCAGCATTTTTTAATGGTCGTACTGTAGAATTCGGAAAAATTATTGTGAATTGGTTTGAAAATCGCTCGGTTTTGAAAACTCCGGGCAGGCTTAACGTAATAAATCGACATCACATGAACTGTGAGCTGGACTGAATCTTTTCTAAATGAAACCAAACTATTGTCCGAGTACGAATTGACTAAACGATTACAGGAAAAATGTTAAATGTTACGCATGTATACACAAAGAAAATATACACGTGAAATTTAATTATTAAATTTTGAAGCGTCGTTCATTTTAAAAGATAACGAGGAAAATCATTAGGCAAGAAAAGTTTATTCAATTATTTTGTTTGGATTTGAAAGTAATTCAAATATATCAGAAACCACAATTTTTTTTAATGTGATGAGTTTGATGGAAAAGTTCTCGATTCAACATATCTGATACTTCGTGAAGTTTCTTTGTATTTAACCATCGTTAAACAATTTCTGAAGTTTACATGTTAAGTCCCGTGACGAAGGTTTAGAGATGACGCGCGGTTCTCAAAAAAGAATCAACA